TAATAAAACTGTTCTATTATTTTACTATTATGTTATTATTATTTTACTTATATTAACAAACCTTCTGTTATTTTACTGTTATTCTGCTGTTATGCTGCTGTTATACTGCTATTATTTGGCAAATATAGAATAGAATAATGACAGATTTTTTTTCTGTTATTTACCTATTATTTACCCTTTATTTATTCATTCAACCTGTGGACTGACCAGAGGAGAAAACTGCATTTGAACTTAAGAGTTGGATATCAGCAACAATAGCAGAACTAGCAGCAATATAGGCAGTGATTTTAACAATTCCAGAATAGAAAAGTATAGAAATATATACTGATAGCATTGCAGCATTAAAAAACATTAATAGAGCAATTCAAAATATAGAAGATGAAAGTATTATAATATATATTATTAATATTTTTAAACATATTCAAATTATAATTTAAAAGTCTATTTTGATTTTTATATATTAAGTACTAAAAACAAAAATTATCAAGTTTATTACTTTGTATTTTAAACAAATAATCAAAAAAATTTTTTTTTTTTTTGGTATTAAGGTGACCTTTTTGGTCTTTTGACTTTTATTAATCACTTATCAGTATTGTGATTTAATGAACTACTACAGGAGAGCATACAATTGGCTACATGTGTAACTTTTCTATATTACCTATTTAAGGAGTCTGCCCGAAGGTTCCTTACCAATTGTTATACCTAATACTCCTGCTTAGGTGTTCCACTTTAAACCCTCTGAACTTGTAACCTGTATTAACATCACTGAGTCATACCCAAATGCTTAGATCATTGTTCTTAACTTTAGGACTAATTTATCCTCAAGGTAAACCCTCCAGAGCCTTCTGTACTCATTTTTATAGCTGATCTAGGTATCGCTATGGCAGAACCAACACTTGCAGTCAGAGCTAACCATTAAACTGCTATGCCCTTGTAGAGTTTACTTAGATCCTAGTATCTACTTCACAACATAACCCCAGTACTTTAGTATACCTCTGTCTTTTCTCCTACTCTTTTACCAAACTCCCAATTCAAATAGTTCATGTAGGACTACGACCAGTTTATCGGTATATTAGGTCAGCACAATATTCTTTTCCTTTAATTCGTTCTAGTAGCCTGGTTGGTAGTACCTCTGAGACTCCCAACTCAGAGATTTATGCCCGTCTGGCTACTAGAACTGGGTACTAGACCTTAGTATCTGTTTTACTGAGCTAGCCTTTACAGTAAGGCCATTGAAGATCCAGCTACCTCTCTACTCGGGTCTTCCCAAATGGATTTCTTGTTACCCAATTTCAACAGATTTACATAGCCACAAGGACTTATTTAGTGTTTGCACCATCTGATATGTCAGTTTGCATTTTTCTGTATAACTCCAATATTGCACAGATGCCCTATGACCTGCCAGTCATGCTGGTGAGACTACTATTACAGGTATTCTAACCCAATCATTAGTAATACTTGCTGTAATATGAATATTATATAAGTGATTATCCAAATTTTTGCCATCGATAGGATTTGAACACCCAACCTACTACTTGGGGGGTTGACAACCTGACTACTTCACTAGGTTACTACACCCCTTATAATCAAAAATTTTAATTAACTAAAAATACAATTAAACTTACTATTTTTAATTTTGTTTATTAACAAATTTACTTATAAAATTATTTAAATCTGTAATAAATAACATTAAGATTATTTTTAAAATAGTATATTATTCAATACTAAAATATAATAAAAGAGTAAAATAATAATTTGAATTAACCTGAGAATAATGATCTTAGTATAGTAGTTGAGTTGTTATCCTCCAAATGGCAGGTCTAAGGTTCAAATTTCATCTACAATGAAATTTAAAAATTATATCTGTATAACAGTAACTGTCTTTTGTCAATCAGTTGGCCTTATGTGGCTATAACCTAGATACACCAAGTTGGGTCCTACTGATATTAGAAGCTTGGACATCTATGTAAAATATAACATTATATGTACATAGAGAAATATATAACTAGTATTGCATAAGACTTCAGTACAAACCTATGATAAGACTATCAGATATAAAAGACTAAGAAACTGAGGTGATGAAAACTCACTTGAAAATTCCTGACTAAAGAGGTAGCATAAACTTTTGACAATAACATCAGATCAGTTAAAGCCTATAAAACACCTTTATAGGAACTAAAGATTAAAACCAGATGTCAAATATATGTAAAGAAGCATATAACCAATCAGGTTACTAAATTTGCTAAAGAAAAAGGATATAGAAATATATCATACTAGGCCATCTGAATTGATAGTCTGGAATGAGACTGATGATTCTGAGTTGTGGCTAGTAGAGAATAATGAAGAAGATGTTAAGAAGATAGGTACTGGAATTCTAGTAAACTTTATCAGAGTAAAAATAGTGTAATATAATAGTTAAACAGATAACCTCTATAACTGCAAGTATTAAGTAACTATAGTGTGTTGCATAAAACTAGGTTTATATATATAGGATATAAAGGCTCTAGTAAGTTTTCTATTAAGGATAAATTAGTCCTAAAGGTAACAACAAGTATTAAAAACTTGGATGGATATAGCCTTGAGATGTTTTCATAATACAAGAAGAATTATATATGCAAAGAGTTTAAATAAACAAGACCCTTAGTTGGCTTGCAGATATGACAACTAGTATAGAACTTATATAGCAATATATAAGTGAACTACTTAAATTAGGCACCAAAAGTGCACATGTGCCTAGTTGTAACCTCCAATGTAAAGTAAGCTCCTGGTAACATGTTGTGTTCTAATATACTTAAATAAAAATGTTGCATTCTCAAGATAAAGACTTTAAAAAAAAAATAATAAATAAAAATAATAATTTGAATTATATAAAGTTTCTAAATTATCTAATAAAATAAAAATAACTAATAAATTTTATTTTATAATTATATTTCTTTTATTACTAAAATTTAAATTTACAATATTGAATTAAAATAATTAATTATTTTTTTTCTAATAATAATAGTATAATATATAAAAATATATATATTTTTTAAGAAATATAATTAAAATAACCCATAGTGATGATTATCATGGTTATGCTGATTAATATAAGTACTTGTTGTGTAACATATATATCAAAGTAAAATAATATGTCAAAGTAAAATTATACTTAACTAAAACTGTCATTATATTATTTATATTCTATACTATATTACTAATTTTTGCATATCTTGTTCACTATTGTATAATCATTGTTGTGTTTTTTTCTTCTTCTACTATTGTGTTTCTTTTTTCTTCTATCATTGTGTTTCTTCTATCATATTTATTTACTGTCACATTTTTCTTTACTGGCATATTTTCTTTTACTGTCACATTTTTTTTTACTGTAGCATTTTCTTAGTGAATTCTTAGTGACATGATACTAACTTGCATTTTACTTCATTGCAGCATTTTTTTTTCTTTCCATTCTTTTTTTTTTTGTACTTGTAGTATGCTTCTTTTTTATTATTGTGCTGTTTTTACTATTGTGTTTCTTTAGTTACTATATTTTTTTAGTGATCTTAGTGACACATTTGCAGAATAGCTTATAGAAGGTGAATCAGTAGCAAATTTATTTATTATTTTATAGAGTTTTAATCATTAGTTTAGCTTTTTAAATACTTTTTATTTAGAGTTTTTAGATGAAAACCTTTCAGAATCTACTAGTATCTTGGCCAATTCCAGAATTACAAATAACACAGAATTAGTAATTTCTAAAATCAATGAAGAGGCAAAATTATCTATAAAAATAAAACCAAATGATGAGTCAAGTCTCCAACTTTCAGCAGGCACTTTTTACATGTTATAAGATCTGGCTGAAGCATGTCTCAATAGTTATGCTAAAGCTATAGGTTTCTCCTTATGTCAAAAAAGAGTAACAACTACTGATGAGAGTAAAGTTAAATGACATACTTTTAAGTGTTTACATTCTGAAGAAACTGTTAGTAACAAGTTTATTAATCTTTCTTGGCAACATAATTGTATTTTAAGGAAAACTTTATGCCTATAGCATGTAAATTTGTCAAAACCAAAATCATTTCCAGTTATACTTGTGACTAGTATAGTAGGAGAGCATAATCATTAAATGCAACTAGATGTTATATTGTTTGTTTCAAAGTATAGAAAACTATTCTCAAAAATCTTGGAAGCAATAGAATTTTATATTACAAAGGGGAAAATGGGTTTTAAACAAATTTTATCACTTTTGACTGCAAAATTTCCAGATCATATTATTTACAAACATGATCTTTATAACACTATTCAAAAGTTTTGACCAATATCTACTCAATATTATAGAAAAGCACAATATTTTATTGAATATTTGTTGTATTTAAAAACAAAGATCCAGGTTGGATTGTTAATATTTAGATGGATCTATATGATAATCGTTTAACAGATTTATTTTAGATGTTACCAATTCAACAACAATATCTTATTAGTTATATTGATATTGTTCAAACTGACAATATATGTCAGACAAATTGGTTTGATATGTACCTTACACTGGTAGTAGTTATTGATAATAACACAAGAATCAGGCTAGTAGCTCAAGTGTTATCTGAAGATGAAACCACTGAATTATATAAATGGTTTCTCAAATGCCTTATAAAGGCAACATATAATATACTACTAGTATTTTTATTTTTTGATTCTGAATCTGCATTAAGCAATGCTATTGCTCTAAAATTACCTACCATACACTATTTTTTATGCATTTTCTATATATAGGAAAATATTCACAAAAATTTATAAAGAAACTTGGCAAACAATTCGAAGAATTCTATAAGAAGTTTTTATATGTGTGAAATAGCTTATTTGAAGAAAACTTTTATAGATAATAGTCACATTTATTAAATAAATATCTTCAAACTCAAGATTACTTTAATAGAACATTGCAAGAATGTATTAAATCATAGGCTTAGTACTATTAATTAAAATGTTTTACAATAGGAGTTCAAAGTACTCAGCATGTTAAAATAATGAATCGACTAATTAAAGAAGGTGTAAAAAGTACTTCCTCATTGTGTGATCTTCATAAGCATATTCAAAATCTCTTGGATAATGAAGCTAAGTGGGCAAAACATAATAGCTATTTGAATTCACTTCCTACTAATCAAGCATCATCAATCATTGAATCAATATTTTCAAAAGTTTTAGAAATATTGAAGTTGTACTTAACACTCTACATTTTAGCTATACAACAATAGCAAATTACTGAATCTCTTTTATATAAAGCATAGCTACAACAAAAGGATAATATTTTAGAATTACAAATTTAATAGTCATTTTTTTGTTTATATTTGTCTTTTTTTTTTAGTTTAATTAGAATTAGAGCATAGAGATAATTACATACTATAATATGTACTTATAGCATGTTTATTTGTAGTTTTTTATTTAATACTTTGGTATTATATCTCTGTGTTTTAACTTTGTTGATCAATTTAAATTTTAAACTTCAAAGTAATCTTTTGTTTAGGAAAATATTCAATTGGACTATAATATTGGCTTTTTGAAAAATGAGCTCGATAGGCCACAAATTTCTATTATGGCTTTATTTAGAGATATTGAATCAAATAAAGTTGTTGAAATCTGAAAAGTTATGGGTTTAACAGTAGCTTACAAACATTATATAGTATTATTGAGTAATGGTAGGCATTTGTGTACTTGCATAACTATTATCAACCATGGTATTATTTGTTTTCATTTTTTTCAAGTAATAATGAATACCAAAATGACAATATTCTATATTAGGCTGATAGCAAGGCAGTGATGGTATCAAGATGATAACCAAGATAAAGATTTGGAAGGTTTACAGCAAAACATTAATATTTCTACAACATTTCAGCAAAATGCTGTAGATATAATTATTCTGAATTTTCATATTATTGAACAAATCTGAGGTGTTATATACAACATAGAAAATAAGCAATTGGTTAACAAAAAGATTAGATATGCTAACAGATTTGGCAAAATAAAAAAGGCACTTAATATTGCCTTAAACCTTGGGTGTGAAGAAGAATTGATTGACATAATTACTCATTTCGTTGACCAAAAGAAATCTATACTTGAAAGCACTAATGATGAGAATGTTCATCTTGATCAATCTGAACAAATAATTGTTATGGATTCTTTTGTTACAAAACATCGTAAATGGCCACCAACAAGAAGATTAAAAGGTTTTTCTGAAAGTCAAGGTTATAAAGAACCAGCCCATAATAATTATGCAATTAATTCATCAGATTCTAATTTAAGGATACCTTTATCAAATGCTAGTTCAAATAATAGTAGCTATATTGTAAAAGAAAGTAAATGAAAATATGTATATAATATATATAGTAGGACAGGGCATAATGCACACATATGTAAGCAGTAGAAAAAATAAGTGGATATAATTCATAGTACATTTTTAATTATAATATTGATTCAAATTGCATACTAAATATATCAAAAATTAGTGAAAAGCTATCAAAATTATAAATGTTATTTATAATTTTGATCACTTATTATATAACAATTTTATTTTTTAGATAATAGAGCATTATACGAAACAGCATAACAATATAGCAATAAGGTTGTTATCATTATCAGATAAGTATTAAAAATCATTTTTATTATAGTGAAGTGATTGGATTGCAAAATTTTCTTTGCTATATCAAGTTTTAGTAAAATTTAAGTAAATTTACTAAATATATTGGGAAGGATGTTCTTTACTATGCTTTTATTAAGAGTTCACTACAATAGGAGTAACTAGTATTGATATTTTTTCTTATAATATTACAAGATTTATAGTTTTGTTTTAATAGTGATTATAGTGATTTAGAATATTAATAGTAATATTAGATGAGTGTTATAAGCTAATATATGTATATACCAAAAGTTTTATAGAATTAATAAACTTCATTTCAATCAAATACTTTTATTGAATATTTGAATCCAATAATGCAAAAAAGTAACAATCATAACTACAAAAAAGGATTGACTCAAATTTTATTTAATGAGTATCACAAGAAAAAAGTTTGCGAATCTTATCTAATAGAATTTGAAATTTGTATGTTTTTTCTTTATGACACTTATATAATATTTTATTATAATAGTATTGATTAAAACTGAAGATTAACTAAGCCTATGCATAACAATAATAATTAAAATTTTTAATAAAAAAATTATTGCAAAAATGACATAAGTGATAAAATACAATGCTTTTATTATGTTTTTTTTTTAATTTTGAGTGAATACTGGCATGGTGTTTTTTGTGCTAAGGTTAGGGTTAGAGTAGTTTTGGGTTCATAGAAAGGTTTATATAAGCTTTGATTATAGTGTTAATAATGTCTGTAGATGTTATATGAACATGCATAGATAGGGATATCTAAAACGGAGGCAAATTCAGTGATCACTATCAATCAAACTTCTAAGGTTAGGGTTAGATTTTAGATGGTTATATATATGCAAAATTACCTTTCTAGCATTTTTAAATAATCTACTCAAGGTAGGTTTAGACTGCTGTTTTTTGTATTTTTCAGATTTTTCACTCTTCTTTCTTGTTTTACTTCACTAGCAATTATCAAAATTCTATAATTTAATTGGCAGTAATCATGTGAATTTGCCTCTATTTTAATCTTTTTCAGGATCAAAATTATCCAGAATGATCTCTAAAAATCTTACTCAGGTGTGCCAACAAAATTTCACAGTCATGTAAGAATCAAAAAATTCTTTAAAGTTCTTTTAGATTAGGATTAGCATTTCTAATAAGATGAAAAACTAGTGGATTTATAGTAAAATTGCTCAAAAAATTTTTTTTGTTAGAGCGCAAAAGATGGTTTCTTATGCAATTTTTTGAGAAATAAGCAATTTTTGAAAAATGACTGTTTTGTTTTAATCTTTCTGATCATGTAATATTATATTAAAATGAAACTTGCTATTGAATGATCATTATGTAAAAGTGAAAATTTGTTGGCACATTTGGGGTAGTTTATATTAATATATTTGATCACATGACTATAGTAATTATCACTACAGATTATGGTTAGAAATATCTTTTTTTAAATATTAAAAAAATACATATAATTTAGTTTTTATTAATAGTACATTTAATTACTATTTAATTTAAGTAGTCTGTTTAAAGGTTTTATATTAGCTGTTATATCTGAAACTTGCTTATAAGTTTTTTATTTAAACATGCTAGTTCTCATATCTACATGTTTACTTATATCTATTAATAATATTAGTTAATACTAATAAAAATATATTATAATTAGAGAGTTGCTATTTTTATTTTTTATTTTTGCTAATACCACCTTTCAAAATACATAAAAGTGCTTGGAAAAGATATTATTATTAAGTAAACCTCTTTTTTGGTATTAATTAAAGTTGTGCATTAGACCTTTCTAGTTCTAATAGTAGTAAAATTATTAAAATCAGACTAGTAGTTCTTTTTAAAAATAGATTAAAGATTATAAACTTTAGATATAAATATTGCAAGAACCACTGGTCCAAACTTAGTAATTTTACTTTTATTAAAACTAAAAAGACCTAATAAACAACTTTAATTAATACCAAAAAACAGGTTTACTTAATAATAATATCTCTTTTAGAGCACTTTTATGTATTTTAAAGAGTGGTATTAGCAAAAATGATGGGTGAAAATAGCAATTCTCTATAATTATTAAGTTTTTAAAACAGTTTATTTATATTCAGATTCTTTAACTTTATACTAAGTTTTTAGAATTTTTTGTATCTTATTTTTATAGCTGACTTAGTTATATTATAGCTAAAACTAATATTTGCAATTAGAGCTTACTATTAAACTACTATGCTTTTGTAAAGTTTATTCTAATTCTGATACTTATTTCATAATATATTTATATTAATTTGGTATTTAATTTAAGTTTTTTTTATCAAGTTCTTAGTTTAGATAACTTAAAAAGATAAATATAACTATACTTCTAATTTATATATTTTTTAATATATAATCTGTTTTTCTAAAAAATTCTAATAGTTTGGTTGATTACAATAATTTCTTTTAAAAACCAATATGTTATTTAGCTTTAGAAGTTTTAGCTTTGTCTTCTAACTTTAAACTTTATAGTAATACTATTAAAAATTCAGACTATCTTTCTATTTAGATCTTTCAAATAAGCTTCTGTTTTATAAGTTTTTATAATTTATATAACTATAAGAACTTATTATAAGTTTATATCACTTAGTACTAGTTTGTATTTCTTTATATAATAATATATTGTATGAATGCTATATGGTCTTTTAGTTATACTAGTATAATATAAATAACAAATATCTAATTCTAAACAATAGTAAAAACTAGTTAACTATAATATAAAAAAATTTTAAATTTTTATTAATATTAAAATTTGAACTTTAGACTTGTAACTTAGAGATTAACAGCATAGCTACTTTACTATATTATTATGTTTTTATAAAAATATCTTTAATTAATTAATAAGTAACTTTTCTTATTAAACTTGTTATTTCTTATATAATATTTATTTTTTTTATATATTTTTTTTTCCTATAAGCAGTCACGCTAGTACTTTATTAGGTTTTTGAAATTACATTTGTAACTACATAAATATTTCTAATATCTAAGTCTAGCATCACCCGGCCACCTTATTGGTACCTAAGTGCAACCTGTCACATTACTTCGAACAGAAGTAAGCTGCTCGTCTGACTACTTAAAGTCCATAATGAAAAGGTCTTCACCCTTTCATGACAAGTCCCAACATTGTCTTCATTACTTCCTTCTTAACTTGCTTCCCTTTTTTTCTCGTTTCTTATTTTTTCTCTTTTCTTTTTTTCTGATTTGTCTTTTCTCATTTTTTCAGTTATTTTAAATTTCCACCTTTTTTCCTTTTAGTTCTATCTGTTATTCCATTCTTTTCCTCCTATTCAATGATTTTTTCACAACATATCCTTCATACTTGTTCGTAAAATGTGTCCCAGGCCGTTATTGCTACTGTATTTGCAAACTGCTGTCTTGATCTTGTATTTAGTAGCTTCGCTAGTTCGTCTTGTGTTTCTTTTGGAATTAAGCCTTTTATTAGTGCTTCTCTCATTTTAACTTCTTCTGCCTCTGTTTTTCCAAAGAGTGCTGTATATAACACATATGGGGGAATTCGATTCTTTTCGTCTTCCTTTAACTTCTTCCATGCTGTTGCAATGGTTACTTTTTGGATTCTCTTCCAGAGATTTCTT